TCGCGATAAGAGTTATCGTTCCTATTTCAGAAAAAGTAATTACATTTTTTACGTAACATTTTACATTTTACATTTTTTACATTTTAGGCACAATGCCGCTCTGAATATCGTGCGAAAATTTGTAGCTTGGAAAAATTTGAGTTGACTTTAATGTAAATAATATAGAGAACAGATTTTATATGACACATCCGTGCTCTCATTCTCGCAGTAATGTTCGCAGCAGTTACACAGCTTAATTATACAGAGGAATAATGACGTCAGACAGTTGACCTGGGGCAGTGATAAGAGTTATTCACTCATGCAAAACACAGTACGCTCGCTGCAATTCACAAGGAAGCATTATAATCAACAAAACCTCTATAGAAGATTATATTCTGCATTTTTTTTTCACTTTTAAATGCATCTACATTTGTTTAAAGTTTTGAAAGCATTAATTTTAATTATTTGATGTTCACTATCTACAATTACATTAATATTAATTTTTATTATATAACACCCCCTGCAGTGTGTGTGTGCGTGTGACGATAATAATATTTAAATTTAATATCGTTATAATCAGTGCGTTACATCTATGTTATAAAATATTAATTATGTAGGATTACTACGCAACATTGCGTGACAAAATGAATTATCGTCGCTTTGTGTAACAAACACGTTTAACAGGTGGTAACCTTTTTAATGCATAGAGTAACGGAATAATATTCTTATCTCGGGGATTATCTCCGGAAATGAGTTTCGGGTGAAGATTATACCTGCACCGCTTTCTGACTCCCTGGCGTACAATAAATTCGACGAAATAACAGCGTCATGGTGCGATTCGCAAAATTTGTGGATTCCCCCCCCCCTTCTCTCTCTTTCGCGGATTCAGTTTTCAACCCGCCCCATCAGTTATTTCCGAAGACGGAGAAAAAGGGTTGTCTTCCCGAATTCGCCTTCCGTGCTAATCTTCGCAACCGTCAGACATTTACCATTCGGCAGATTATACATGCGGTTATAACCGCATATATTTTACGTATATATACGT